TTCCACAGCTTCTTTCATCTCTTGATTGCATTTGCACATTTTTTATATTTTGATCTGATTATGCATGCCAGTGAGTGGTCACCGTTCACAGTACTGTATGTTAATTGTATTTTTTAATCACATATGGATGCTTTAGTGATCAAATGGATCTTAGGCTATTTTATTGTACGAGGGAGTAAGAAAATGAGCTGCTGTATTTGTTGTTTTTTTCACTCCTGAAAAAGAAAAGATAGAAGTGGTGAATCATTGAATGGAAAACTGGTTAATAACACCATAACTTTGTAGTTCTATTGTTGCAAAGAAAACTATTCCTCCTCCTGCATTGGCAGATGAAAGAGGTGGACAAGAATGGTATTTTATGCAAGGTAGGTTCATGGTTTGACAGAGGGGAACAGGTGGTGCAGGAATGGGATAGTTTTATGTTGTAGATGAAATTTTTCTTCGGTCGAACTCTTGTTGTTAAAATATATGCCTGTGATTTGACTCAGCCTATCTTTGTGTAGCTTACCTTTGTTCATGAGATTAGTAAATAACGTCATCTAGGATTCCCTTTAAGCAGTCGGGACAATTTTGTAAGTTATGTACCTTGTGATTTTAATTCCAACTGACCCCTATCGTGTTAGTTAGCCAATCCTTAGAGAAGATTTTATATTAATATTGAATCTGCCCTCGTAGCCACAGTTCTATTTGCTTATTTGAATGAGTATTTCTTTTGGCGGACATATTTAAATGGCATTAAAGTTTCCGTAGCTCATTTACTCGCATGTTGTTGCTTTCTTCCGTGTAGTGGACTTGATGAAAGAAGGTGCTACTATTACCCTGCGCAATGCTAAGATTGACATGTTTAAAGGATCAATGAGACTTGCCGTGGACAGGTGGGGCCGAGTTGAAGTTACTGAGCCTGCTGCGTTTACTGTTAAGGAAGATAACAATCTTTCACTCATTGAATATGAACTCGTGAATGTTGTGGAAGAGTGAATTTTGTGATCGTGTTCATTTTCCTGCTGCAACATGACCATAAAATAAAACAATCAAGCTACAAACTCACGAGTTTCCGTTGGGGTGTCGAAAATGCTCGCACAAGTTCATTATTAGGGAATAGAATTATGGAAGCCAGTACGAAAGTTGATTTCCATCCCTGCAGCCAATTGGTGGAACCGTTGGGATCTACAAACAGGTGGGTGATGGCTCAGTTGATGGAAGAAGGCTTGGCTGGCTTTTCTATTTTTCGTTTGTCTAGTATTTTATTGCTTATGAAAACACTTTACGATATCGTGAACTATCATCAGATGACAAGACTAGCACCTTGTTCCGTTAAAGCTTATGTTAATTCAAGGTCGATGCCAACTTGACTGCCTTCGAGTGTCAAATCTTATTCTTAAATGATTGATTACTCCCAAAAAGTGAGGATTTCATTGACCAATAGTTTAGGAAATAATGAACAATGGTTGTGGATCATAGTCTAATCGAGAAACTCGTAGATTTGTTGGGGAGTTTATCCAGGAGAAACAGTGAGGGGAAAATGGAGATCATATGAAGTATTTATGTAATTGCATTACGTATCTTTGACGTCATGCACAGTCATCATTTAAACATTACAGTCATCATTTGAAACAATGTTTATTTGGAGTCCTAACATCTGATGTCACTACTCGCATATCTTTGTATCTTATTTGAAATAGCTCTGTTCTCCAACATGATACCGCATTCAAATGATTGGATGGCCAAAGGCTTCAACTAGAAGAAGTGCTTTACTTTATCTTTTGGTTATGATCGCATTTCTACCCGGAACCAGGGCACTCGTAGTCTCGTCTTCATCTGTTTGGTCAAACCAAATGGTTTTAAATTCTATTGATAGTGTCTGTGGTGGTCTTAATTAGGAGTCCGGAGCGGTCACTTGCAACCCCGTTTCTGGCTTATTCTGGGCCCCCATCCACGAATCTCACGGTTGTAGCGGTCAACCGAATTACATATATACCAACCTTCATCCATTCAAAATGAAAGCAGAGGCCGTGCGATGAAGTTGCCTCTTTCCCATCCACTTTTGGGTGCTCTTCCCTTTTTGCTATTGGTTACATGATTAGTGCCAACACTATTGTGTTCTCCAACCATAACAATATCATGACATTAGTGGAGTTTTTACTTCATAGTTCATTGAAATTTTCAGGTTAATGTGAATTGAATCTACATGCCAATTCGAGATATTTTTACGGTTCTTCTCCTTTGGTCTAGTTAATGATGCAAAATTACCAATCACATTTTAATTTTCGAAAGGCGTTAGTACTTCAGTGAAAGCTACATCGAATACTAAATGAAAACAAAAGACTCAAGTAAGTGCTCTTTTTTTATTTTGTGGCAACAAAGGTAAAGCTATTCCAGCAATCATATGGTGGCACATGCTTCTGAATGCATGAAACTTGATTTGAAAGCATCCGGCGGGTTCTACTCGCAAAAAAAAAAAAAAAAAGGACGCACTACCTTACCCAGTTGTCTGCTTTATTACTTCATTTGTGTTGAACACCAGGTTCTTTTAGTCCAATATGATCATTCTACCAGTTAACAACATGATAAACACAAAGCAATCCCGAATCCTTTTGTTTGTCATAACTCGCACTTGGCAAAGGCAAAAAGTCTTTTATTTTTATTATCAGTATCAAAACATGGGCTATTATATTAGTCTGTGGAGTTTGGTAGAACATTGTTATCAGCGGGGCAAACCAACTTTATAATAATTGCACTTCTTTTGATCCATTGAAAAAGCAAATGCAAAAATGGGCAGGATCCAAAGACGGAAACTTTATGATCATTAAACCCAATTATAGTTCTTCTTTTTAAATTGAAAAATAAAGGATTTAGTTTAAACAATGAGAGAAGCTCACTAAGTAAGACTGGGGAAAGAAATTTTGAAACAATATAATAATAATGATGCCAGCAGAGGCGTTGTTATTGTAGAGTTGTAGTTGGTGGAATGTGCAAAAACAGGATCCTTTGCATTTACTTTGGGTTGAAGTTAATTAGTTTAGGATCCAAAATGGGAGCGCATGTGAGATCACATGCATTATATTATTAGGCAAATTCAGATAATTACTTAAGGAGACATTCGTTTTCTTTTTCTTAATCAGATTCTAGCATCACAAAATGTGTACAGTTTTTAGAAAAAGGGGGAATCAAATCAAATTAATCAGGATAGTTCCTTCCCCAGGAAAGGAAAGCGTTCTAAGAAATTAATTGAGCCAACTTGTGGTTCAACATGAAGTGGGTCACCAACCAAAACACTGCATCCATCATTTCGTGTTTATGGCAATACCATTTAATGAACACTTAGTATTTATGGAGCACCCATGTGGCTGAAGGACAGTGGCAGGTAACCGCATTGCCACTGAAACAAGTCAAACACCCACCATCTTTCCCACTTCCCTTTTATTTATTTTTGATTTTTCTGATAAGCCTTCTGATTTACCTAACATTTAAGAAACAGAAGAGGAGTAATAGGAATAGGCGTAGGCGCAGGGTTAAGTCTCCCAAACATCCCTTTAAAGTCAAGTGGTTGGGTTGTCGTTTCGGAGGTGAAGTTTGGAGTTTGGATGAGAATGGAATGATCACTTAATGCGTTTTCTTTTAAAATCACCACATTTTTGTTGTTGCCTTTGCAATTGCATCATTTCAGACGCTAAACTTTTTCTTCCCATTAAACAACATCATACTAAGTAGAGTAACCAATTGAATGTGTTCATTTTTTCTTTTAAAAAAAATTATTTACAGTGAGCTGGCACCTTATTTTGCTTTAGTTTTATCCAAAAACATCCACAGATGATTGGCTTACTTATATATCAATACCAACGTTCTCTTATTTAGCCGATGCCAAATATATATATTTTTTTTACACCCAACTATTACATTCTCACTCGAACAAATGGGCTGTATTCGATTTGGCAAATAAAATTGGATGACTAATTTAGTTGTACACGTTTGTTCATAATTATTTATATGCAAATTGGGTCCTCATATGCATCTACTCTTTGAAAGATGTTTCAAAGCTGTATTCAATTTATAATCTGCTATGCTAAATTTCTTTAATTTTTTGCATTATTTTTTTTTATCCCATTCCTTGCCTTGTTTTTGTCGTTAACTTAAAGAAGGAGGCTTACACCCAGAGTTCATTCTAAATTAAATCCCAATTAAATATAGAAAATAAACTAATATTTGGTAATGGCAAAAATAGTACATGCATTGACAATGACTGGACATGCGTTCTTCCATTATTATTATTATTTTCTTAAAACCAGTGGTTTAATATATTTATACATAATTAAAATGAAGCGAAAGGAGAAACAAAATTATGAGCATGCCACCCTCTGTATTTGTACCGTGTAAACCAATGAAATTACGATTTTATATAAATAAGAATAATGCATAATAAATGATACACACTTTTACAAAGTATTTATACAAATTTTGATCTGAAATTAAGATACTCCTTAATTTTTGGCGACAGAAAGGGGGAGAATGACGAAATTGTCCAAAGAGTAGCTTGGAATTTACGATGAGGGACTGTCACGAGCTTTGTCACTGTCGTGTCCAAGATAATGGAGAGAAATTTTTAATGATTCCAATAATGCATAGTTGGATTCTTGCATTTCTACTTATTTTTCCCCTAACGGAAAATAAATTAATATTAAAAAATTGAAAAGTTGGAGTAGTACCAATCAAAACAGGACACGTGTACTTTAGAAAACGCGGCTTCTGAAACTACCCCCGCCATTTCCCTATCTGTCCTCTACTATCGGCCTTTTTTTTTTCTTTTTCTTTTTCTTTTTCTTTTTTTTGTTGCAAGTGTGATGAATTTTGAGGGTAATCTATTGTGTGGCTGTCATGTGTCCTTATTTTCTTTTGGGGCAATGGCACATAATTAAGATAAATTCTTTTAATTGGCGTCATCCCTATTTGAATAATTTAATGGGCTGCGATGGCGAGATTGAGAGTAGAGAGGCGGGGCGGAAAGCGGGGAGGCGTCACATAAAGAAAACAATCCCATATTAAATCAGTGTATAAGTGTTAAATAATAAATTGATGATCCAACTAAAGTTTGGGATTTGAAATCAACACATATAGACGTGTACGGGTTTGGTTGCAATTGGGAAGCAGCAGTAGAGATAGCAGCAACAGAAGTCCAAAAAAGTAAAGAAAAGGCCATAAATATAATATTTGGGTGTCTGGAAACCACTATAAATTTCTGCCTACAATTGCAACCGCACGCCAACATTCCCAAATCTCACCCCCTCTCCTCTCCTCCCCTCCTCCGTGGAATACTAAAAACAAAACTCTTCAGAGAAATGCATACATTACCCGCGCCCCTTCTGGTTCTCCTCTATCTCTTTATCTTCTTGCTTTCACCGCTCAATGTAAGTCCATATCCATTTCTCTGTTTATTTCTCTTTATTTTGAGCTTTTAATCCCTCTGCTGCTGCTGCTGCTGCTCCTCCTCCTCCTCTTCCTCTCCTCATCCCTGAGTGTATTGTGAATTGTAAATTGTAATGTATGGTTCTGGAAACAGGTTCCCGCGGCCGCCGACGAGGACAACCCCTTCACCCCAAAAGCTTTTCTGAATCGTTATTGGAACAAGGAGGTGCGGAATGATTTGCCAAAACCCACTTTTCTCTTCTCCAAGGTCTCTCCCTTGACGGCAGTGCAGTCGGCGGCCTTCGCCAAACTTGCAGCTCAAAATGCTCTCTCCTCCCGACTCCCCGAGTTCTGCTCCGCCGCTAACTTGCTTTGCTTTCCTGATTTATCCCCCTCTTTGGCCAAGCACGACAGCACCTCCAACTTTGCTGTGTATTCCAATAAGAACTTCACCACTTACGGCACCCAAAGATCTGGTGGAATCGACTCCTTCAAAAACTATTCCAATGGTGACAATGTGGTCGTCGATTCCTTCAGGCGCTACAGCCACGAGGCCCTGGGCCACACCGATCAATTTTCCACCTATGGCACTGATACCAACGTCCCCGACCAGAGCTTTAACACTTATGCCTCCAAAGCCGTCGGAGGCAACGGCGGGTTCACAACCTACGAACAATCCGTCAATGTCCCCAATCTCCGGTTCACCACCTACTCCAGTGATGCCACTGGAAGATCTCAATCCTTCAAGAGCTACAGCGAGAACGCAAACGCCGGAGATCAGTCGTTTGTCAACTATGGGAAACGGGGAAATGGGGGTCCGAACGAGTTCACTGGCTACGGGACCAACGCAAACGTAATAGGCTCAGGGTTTTCAAGCTACGGGGCAAACGGAAATGGTGCGAACGACACATTCACCAATTACGGCAACGAGCAGAACAACCCACAGAATAACTTCAGGAGCTATGGCGACGGTGGGAATGGAGCGATTGAAAGCTTCTCTAGTTACAGGGACCAGGCCAATGTGGGGGACGATTCATTCCAGTCCTACTCCAAAAACTCCAACTCTGCCAAGGTTAATTTCGCAAATTATGGGAAATCCTTCAACGAGGGTACGGACAAATTTAGTGGCTATGGTCAGAATGGGAATGGGCAAAGCGTGGGGTTCAAGACGTATGGGGTGAATACGACGTTCAAGGATTACGCAAAACAGGGAATTAGCTTTGCCAAGTACAGCAATGTGAGCTCTGGGGGCGCGAAAATGTCGGTGAGCGAAAGTTTGGCTAAGAGGTGGGTAGAGCCCGGGAAGTTCTTCCGGGAGTCGATGTTGAGGAAGGGGACGGTGATGGCGATGCCGGACATCAGAGATAAAATGCCGAAGAGGTCGTTCTTGCCCCGATCTATTCTGTCCAAGCTACCCTTCTCGAGCTCGAAGCTGGAGGTGATGAAGCAGATATTCCACGCGGGGGATAACTCGTCGATGGAGACTATGATGACGGAGACGCTTAGGGACTGTGAGAGGACGCCCAGCGCCGGGGAGACGAAGCGGTGCGTGGGTTCGGTGGAGGATATGATAGACTTCGCGACGTCGGTGCTGGGGCGGAACGTGGTGGTCCGGACGACGGAGAACACGAAGGGGTCGAAGGGGAACATAATGATTGGGGCAGTGAAAGGGATTGAGGGAGGGAAGGTGACGGAGTCGGTGTCTTGCCACCAGAGCCTGTTCCCTTACCTCCTCTACTACTGCCACTCCGTGCCCAAAGTTCGGGTGTACGAGGCGGAGTTGCTGGATCCAACCTCTAAAGCCACCATCAACCACGGAGTTGCCATCTGTCACCTGGACACCTCGGCCTGGAGTCCCGCTCACGGGGCCTTCATAGCTCTCGGATCCGCCCCCGGTCGGGTGGAGGTGTGCCACTGGATCTTCGAGAATGACATGACGTGGAGTGTGGCGGACTGATCGGTCGCCGCACCGGGGGGTGAATTATAAGTGGAAGCTCTCTCACTTTCCAATTGAATGCAAAATAGAGAAAATATTTTCTGTCAAGTCTTTTTTTCCGTTTTGGCTTACCTTCAACAGTTGTACGTTTACCCGCACTAATTTGGGGGAATTGGTTATTTGGAAAAAGGGTAAATGTAATTAATTGTAAGTGATTTAAGTTAATTTTGTGGAAGAAATGGAAGCGAACTCAAATTGTGAAGAGAAGAGATGAGGTGGTCCTGTGTCCATATCTTTGTTGTGTTGCGAGGGGGATCTGCCATCAGACAGCTCACACACACTTTGCCCGTTGTGACTCTTTTTAAAACTTGTCTTCTCCTTTTTCGTTTTCTTTTTCTTTTTCATTTTTTTATAGCTAATCATTTATTATCTATACTGTTGACTCACAGAATTTCATATACCGGATATGCTCTTCCCTCTCTTCTCCACCACCGCCAACACTTTTTTTGCGTTGCCTGCACTTGCTTACCATTAATAATAAGTCACTATATTTTTTCTTTCTTTTACCTAAAACTATGTGAAAGTGATGCAAAAGGGAATTTTGGAGCCTCAATTTTCATTTTTGTGATAAAAATTGGGACTACTTTGTTAAGTGAATGATAAGATTTAGAGATGTGTTTGTGGATGTGTTTTGGGGATGGTGAGGATAAAGAAGACAAGGATGGCGTTGGCTTCTATTTTGCGCTTGGGAATCTAAACATGTAGGCATCTTGTCACATGCGCCCACCCAACTATTTTTTCTTGCTCCTCTTTTCATTTGTAACATATTTACCAACTATTATTTATTTTTCTTTCCGTGTGCTACTTGTTGAAGTCTCGTCAACATTTGAGTGGACGGCTTATAATAAAAAGGAGTTGGACTGCGACATATGTACATATTTATAATTATGGAATTTTGTTTATAGCGGCCTGTCCATTTACAAATTAAATTTAGACATGATTATAATTTCATTTTTGGAGATGGACCCAACTATTATATCTTTCCCTCAAACTTTCTTTTGAACTTACAGATTGAAACAAAAAATAAAATAATAATAATTTAAAAGCCCAAAGTATTTTTGAAATAAATTACTAAGGATTAAAAGTAATTTTGAAATTGCCACCTCTCTCTCTCCCAACTCTCAAATTCGTATAGCTCAGTGCACCTTTAGTTCCCCAAAAAGAGCGTAGATTTAAATTGAATAGCCTAATTTCGAATTAGTCAACAATTTTGAGGGCAAGCAGACGCCGCCCCAGTTTGGAACAGCCCAAGGAAACTCCATAGGCTTAGTTTTCTTCCCAGAGGTCTATCAGATCGCTCCTCTTCCAGTTCTTACTTCCAAGTTCTCGCTTCACACAGACAGCCAAACAAATATGGCGGCTTGCTCTACCTGGAAAACCCTACGAATTTCCTCCTCTTCCGCAAGAACCCTCCTTCAACGTTCCTCCTCCTCCCCCCCCTCTGCGTCTCATCTTGTGTCCAAACCTACGATGTCTGCGCCACTTCCTTCTGCAAAGCCGTCCGCATCTTCCCGCTTCTCTGTTCCGAAGCTTACCAACTTCAGGTATGTTTTTGGTTGTTTTGCTTTACTTATGGTATTCGCTCCTTTTCAATTTGGAGTTATGTTGGAAATATATAATTCAGTAATGTAATGCCGTTTTCTTCGGCTCCAAGATTTGGTATTTCTCAATTTCAATGGCCACAACCTTTTCCATTTCCTTTTTTTTTTTTAATTTTTTTTTATTTTAAAAAAACTAGTTTCTTGGATTTAATCCATGTTATCAGTTTCTATTTCCCTAAAGAGGTGATCGTTTCTCTTTTCTAAAATCTAAGTAATTGCCCGTTCTTTAAGTACATTTACTGGGTTAGCTCGTCTAAATTTACCCATCCACGATCGAATTTTTGCGATTCTATGCATTTCTATACTTACTGAAGATAATCATCATGAAGACTCCAGAGTTTTTATGCTAAATGCTGCTGCTCCTTTAGGCTTCCAGTGGAGTTGTCAAGCGTGCAGTCACTAATGCCATTGCACAGTGCTACTGCTTCTGCCTTGTTTACTTCCCTGCTTTCTTTGCATAACAACAGTTGGGGTTGTCTATCTGAAGGTAACCTTTCTACCTTACTTCCTTGCGTCAATGTTAAATTACGCTATTAGAACATGCGATAAATTTAAAGAATTGCCTTGCAATTGTGTTGACCTTTAATTTCTGAGTTTCTATATTAAATTACGCTATTAGAAGATTAATTGTTTGGTTAGAGTTAATTTAAGAACTTAGATTGTTTTTGCTAATTTTCCGTGAGTTTGAATTTTTGGATTGTTTTTGCTAATTTTCCGTGAGTTTGAATTTTTGTTTGTTAACGAGGTTCAATACATATACTGTAGATTTGAAATGCTAATTAGATGCCTGTGCAAGAATTTTTAATTCAATGTCTTCTGCCTCAGTACATCATTTTAAGTTATCACGAATTCCAGAAAACATACTAATCACAAACATTGATTTAACTCCATGAGTTGTTAAAGTTTCAAGTTTCTACTGATTCCTTAAAATATACTCATGATAAATAGTGATTTTATAACCCCATGAGTTGGCCAGTTTTCTACAATATCTAGATTGTATGGTTTTACATGTTGTATTTTCTTTCAAGTGATAATGAACACAACCATTGATATAGCAAAAATTTATGGTAAATATGCTTTACAACAAAAAGCATCCCGTGGAGGTAGGGAGAATTTGAGAGGATTAGGTTAATTCTTTCTACTATCCCTTTTGTGTATTATTACTCCCTATAGAGAGGAGTTCCCCTCATGTATTTCACATCTAGATCATAATAAAGTTTCTTGTTGATTGATTCTTGGAGATTTCTCCTCTAGTCACTCTTAGGTTACATCGGTTAGATAAAACCTGAGTTTTCTCTTATTTAGAACCTGAGTTTTCCCTTATTTAGATTCACACAATTACATTAATGATCTGTTTGACCATTTGACAAACACGTCGGAAATTTTGGTAAAGAACTCTACAATATATAGAATATATGGAATACCACAGAAACGTTTCTTTTTTTTAATTGTACATTCAATTAATTTCAATCAAATAAGTCGTATCTTGTTCAGACCGATAAATAGAGCTGAGGTTAGAGTTAAAACTGCTAGTAGAAAACCGAAATAACTAGTGAGAGTAGGCATGACGAGGCTAAATGAAATACGTTATTTTTATCCATATGTTTATAAAGCACTTCCCTAAGTTTCTATTTTTGAAAGATACGCGGATGGATCTGTTTGACCATTTGACAAACACGTCGGAAATTTTAGAAGGCAATTTGGTAGGAAATAGTGAAGGCAATTTGGTAGGAAATAGCACAGATTCCGTGGCCACTCTCCAGCCATTTTTAGAATAGGTTATATTTAAATAGTAAATCTGTTCACAATATTTTCACAACCCGAATTTGAAGGAGCAGTCAAAATTTCATCAATTCTCTCTCTTCTTATTTTAAGCATTTTATTTTCTTCCAACAACCTGTTGTCGACAATTTCCTCTCACCGAAAATAAAGGATTTCCCGGCCGATTATTGCAATCCAACAAGTGGTATCAGAGCCAGGTTGAAGCCATCGGTGTATATCATTGCGGAGGAGCCAACCTATCAACAATCAAGTTGAATAGCTCAAGTGGCTAGAGCGTCGACCTAACAACACACAGGTCTCAGGTTTTCGAGTAGAAGAAAATGCAAAGCGCAAAAATAAACACATCGTGAGGTCCATCTCGAGCAGGCTCGCTCACTCCTCCACGTCGCCAAGTGCCGGCATCTCCATCACCACCACGAAGAGGCCGTGGCCGACCGCCGTGGTTCAGTATTCGATATTGACAAGGTCCAACTATAACGAGTGGACCTTGTTGATGCGTGTCAACCTACAGGCGCAAGGGTTATGGCATGCTGTCGAGCTAGAGGAAGGAGAAACGATTGAGTACCGGGAGGATCGGCTGGCGTTCGCCGCCATATTACGATCTGTGCCCCCAGAGATGCTGGCATCTCTCTCCACCAAGCGCACCGTGCAATCGGCCTGGGAGGGAATCAAATCCCGTCGGGTTGGTGTATAGCGAGTGCGGGAATCCAACATCGAGCAGCTGCGGAAGGAGCTCTCGGAGATCCGCTTTAGCCTGGGAGGAAATCAAATCCCGTCGGGTCGGTGTATAGCGAGTGCGGGAATCCAACATCGAGCAGCTGCGGAAGGAGCTCTCGGAGATCCGCTTTAAGGACGGCGAATCCGCGTCCCCGATCACCTCGAGCAAGTCGCGATTTCAATCGAGACATTGCTTGACGTGAACGACCTAACGGTGGAAGAGGTGACCAGAAGACTGCGTAACGTCGAGCAGCGGAAGAAAAATACCATTTCAGCTGTCGACAAGGAGGGTTGTCTACTCCTCACTGAGGAGGAATGGCTTGCACGCCTAAAGCTCCGTGACGACACCGGCGAGAGCAATGGGCCCTCCAGCCGCAAAGGCGGTAAGAAGCCGTGGAAATCTCGCCGGCACATGCGCGAGAAAGAGGCGGATCAAAAGAAGGAGGAGCCGACTGATGACGGGCCAATCGAGTGCTCGTACTGTGGGAAGAGAGGTCACCTGAGCAAGAATTGCTGGAGCAAGCTCAGGAACAAGGAGACAACCGAGAAGGCCCATGTGGCTCAATTCGAGGAGGACAAGCCGGCCCTTTTCATGGTGACTGCATCAGTCCTACCTGACGTCGAACCCGAGGAAGAGCTCCCCAGATCCACAGAGGTAATCGACGACGGCATAACTGCTCCGGTGAGCGTCGAACCCGAGGAAGAGCTCCCCAAATCCACAGAGGTAATCGACGACGGCATAACTGCTCCGGTGAGCGTCGAACCCGAGGAAGAGCTCCCCAAATCCACAGAGGTAATCGACGACGGCATAACTGCTCCGGTGAGCGTCGAACCCGAGGAAGAGCTCCAATTGTGCATAACAAAGGCACCGGCTGGGGAGACAATTCAACTGAAGGAGGAGCGAATGTTCGCTCAAATCAGTGAAAGAAGTGAGCAGCAAGAGCACCGGCGATGGGTCCTCGACACGGGGGCAACAAACCATATGACTGGGGCCAAGTCTGCGTTCTCCGAGCTTGACTCGGGGATTCGCGGGACGGTGAAATTCGGCGACGGCTCCGTCATCGAGATCGAAGGGCACGGCACCATCCTGTTGTCGGCAAGGGAGGCAATCATCACAAGCTGACCGGCGTCTACTTCATCCCGAGACTCAAGGCTAATATTGTGAGCCTTGGTCAACTCGATAAGGCCGGCTGCCACATTTCCATCAAGCGCGGGCTACTTAGGATCCGCGATGATCGACGACGGTTGCTCACGCAAGTTCGGTGCACGGCAAACCGCCTTTACATCCTAAAGCTGGAGATAGAGCAACCAGTCAACCTCTCGGCCAGGTACCGAAAGATGGAAGACCTATTAGGAAGAGGTGAACCACCTGGACTGGCGGCGCGCCAACTCGAAGAAGAGGCGGCCGAACAAGACGTGGAGTTTGGAGGACATGCCGCCAGGGACACCGAGCCATAGGGCTCAAAACGGAGTGCAAACGAAATAAGGTATACCACAGGTTTTAGGAGGAGATTGTTAGATAAATAGATAAAACCTGAGTTTTCCCTTGTTTAGATTCACACGATTTACGTTAATGATCTGTTTGACCATTTGACAAACACGTAGAATGGATTAACGAAATTTTAGACGGCAATGTTGTAGGAAGTGACACAGATGCCACTCTCCAGCCATTTTTAGGATAGGTTATATTTAAATAGGAAATCTGTTCACAACCTGAATTAAAGGGTCAGTCAAAATTTCATCATTCTCTCTTCTTATTTTACGCATTTTATTTTCTTCCAACAACCTGTTGTCGACAATTTCCTCCCACCAAAAATAAAAGATTTCCCCTATTATTGAAATCCAACAACATCACCCTGATTTCAGATAATTCTAGAAATAGAATAATTATGAAAAGAATTAGATAAATACATGATACAAATGGCTCTTTTGCAAGTATATGATGTTGAGTTTTAATATAATGATTAATTCAGGAATTGTCTTTCTTCAGAATTGGGGTTTTAAGCCTACTTGAAGACTGTTAACACTGATGTGAATCTTTATCTAGATACCAAATTGTGGGAATAGAAACTTACGAAATTGTGAGAGTCAAATAATCTCTCTAAAAGGTTCCTAGATTTTTTGATTCTAAAATCCTTCAGTGATGTTCTTAAACTCCGATGGGGTTATGTCTCTCGCTGTTTAGTTTTCTGGTCCAAAATGAATGAATGCATGGCCAGTAGATAAAGCCATGAAATACCTACAAATATAAATAGAAATCCAAATTTATTTAATCGAAGTAGAAAGTAATCTGACCATAATACTCGATTGTGGTGGAACTTCACGTTTGAAGCACCTAGGTTCTAAGCTTTTTGGGCGAGGTTTTGGACGGTTTAGTGGCTAGGTGCTGAAATTATTCTTAGGATGATAACCAAATGCATAAGTGCACTCGAAATATTGAAAGAAAGAGCACCCAACATTCAAGGATTACCCCACAGCGACATTTCCAAATAATTTCTTGAAAGATCTTTCAGCTTTTCATTCCTACTTTCATGCCTCTGCTTTCTCCATCCCCAAATAATGTTCTTTTACTTCTCAACATGTAATTTCTGGAGGGAAAAAACAATTTCATTTTTTTCCTTAAAAAATGAGTCATCTCTGAAAACATACTCGATGAGAAGCCAAAAATGTAAATTAATGAACAGTTATTAAACCTATTTGACTGAATGTGTTTAAGAAATAGAAATGTTATGATTGTGTTCCTGTAGGTGTAAGTGGCTTCAAGTTCTACTCTTTATTTTTCTTCATATTTTGTGTCACACAGGATTTGCTACACCGCTATAACATGGCCGGTACCTTCAGTTTCGCTACCAGACGTGGAATTTGTGGGAAGCAGATTTGGTTATGTTGTATGTTTTTTGGTTACAAATTGAGTTGGATGTTCCTACTTCAGTATGTGATTCTCTCACTTTTCCCTAGTTTACAAACCATTATAGAGATGATAGGTGACAGGATATCCCTATATGCTTTTGCTGGTAAAAAGTTTTGCAGAGAAAGTAGGATATTGAGATCTCAGCAATGTCATTGAATAATTGGGAACTGTGTTCTATTGTTATATTTTTATCTGCACAATTATCTTAAGCTAAGCCAAACATGACTAGTTTCCATCCGAGTCCTTGTCACTCAGTTTGATAATCCTGCCACATTCGGTCAGGTGTAGATGTTGCAAAATGCATGGTGATATTGTTCTTGTAAGTTTTGGACCATCAATTCAGCTATGAGTTTGGCTCATTTTTTAACTTCTCTGTTCACTTGGGATTTTTGTACCCAATCTAACCTCGTTTTCTTTGGTCGTGAATTGAGTTTTATTTAGATAAAGCGTTTATCAGTCCATTCCTCACTTTCTCGGCTCCTATTTCGGGTCAAAAACAGACAAAAGCATCATCAACGAACCCAGGGTATGTTTAGTATCTGATCCATTTCTAAATTTATGTTTTCCAAAACAATATTGTGGGACTAAATCTGAATATATTTTCTGAAATTGTGAGTTTATTAGTGTAAATTTTGAAAACAATGTTTTCAATAATGCAATCTTAATTCTCAGCTTAATTCTCAGCCTAATGATTCAGCTTTTGTTGATTCAAGAACTCTTAAATCAATGACAAAAATGACCTTAAATATAACTTAGAAATGACAAAGACGACCCTCCGATATCTAAGGGTGAAAGTTTCACCTCTTTAACTTGAAAGCTTTGTTTCATTCCTAAATTTACAGTCTTTTTATTGCCATTGCCAGCTAGATTGTTCACAATATTTACAAAATAGAAGGAATATAAGAAATTAAAGAAATTATTGCCCAATTAATTAACAAAAAAGTGTTCCTTATTAAAAAAAAAAGAGAGAGAGAGAGAGAGAGAAGAATAACAAAAACAAAAGGAAAAGGAAAAAAAGAAAAAAAAGGAAAGGTTCTGAAAATTATTCGAAATTATAATGAGGTGGGTGGGTCCATGTGACCGTTGTGTAACGTTACAAAGTCCGAAATTCAAAAAAGTTGGGCCTTTTTCCTGTGATTGCCTTCCGTTGGCAACGACCACTACCCCCATTTCTTGTCAATGAAAGCAACTGGGAGAAGCCGGAAACATTGAATTGTAACTCAGACGGAAGTAAAAGAATCTGGGAAAGCAAGTGGTTGGTTGTTTCTTGAAGTTCTTTGAAGTTGGAGAATGGCGAGTCTAGCACCGGGAGTTCTGGTGAAGCTTCTTGATGGAATGCATTCGGGGATGAAACCCACGAGCGATCACCGGAGCTCGCTGTTGCAGGTGACGGACATTGTGCCGGCGGATCTAGACGAGAAAAACCTGTGGCCGAAGCATGGATTCTATATCAAGGTGTCGGATTCTTCGCACTCAATCTACGTGAGTCTGCCTTCGGATCAAGACGATTTCGTTCTGAGCAACAAAATGCAGCTAGGTCAATTCATTTACGTGGATAAATTGGAACCCGGGTCGCCCGTCCCAGTGGTGAAGGGCGCGAAACCACTCCCCGGGCGACATCCTCTGGTGGGAACGCCAGAACCGCTAATGGGTTTAAGGGAGAAAGGGGAGAAATGTGATGAAAAGTCAAAGGCGGCAAAGACAAAGGTGTCAGGTCCGAGGCGGGGTTCTTGGGGAACAGGAACAGGGCTGAGCTTGGGAGATGGGTATTCTTCTTCACCCATGATTCTGAAACCCATTCCGCTGGACTTTGAGCAGTGTACGCCCGTGAAGGAGCGTGCAGCTCCCAGCTCCCTGATGATGTCTCCCATGGTGAGGGGCAAGAACGGAATCCGGTCTTCCTTTGGCGGTGGGCTGTTGGCTAAACTCGAAAGCCCTGTTCCTGCTTCTTCACTGCTTAGGAAAAGCTGTGCTGTTCCCTGTGGATCGATGTCCAAATTCCCTAGAAGCAAGAGCGTGTGCGAGCGAGAACCAAGGATTTCACCACCAACTCCCTTCAACTCAGCTGTAGGTACAATACAGTGTTGAACTCTGAAGTTGTCTTTTTGGCCTTGAAACATGTTTTTTTTATTTTTATCATTTTATTGTTTGGACCTCGTTGTTACAGCGAGGAAGAGCGCGACTCCACCCCCAAGGTTGCGAAATCAAAGGACCCCAGCTGCTTCTGCTTCCTCCCCAATGATGAAGAGTTCTGAGTCTGATGATAGCGCCACCACTCTTCCCATGAACTTACCTGGAAAACTCAGTATATTAGGGAAGGAAGCTGTGCAGCAGAGAGATACAGCGCAGAAGAATGCCCTCCAAGCCTTAAGGGGTGCTACTGCCACGGAAGCTTTAGTTAGATCCCTCAGGTACAGCTATACAGCTTAGTGTTAGATGTCTGTGTCAGTTTCGTTTTTCATCACTCGCTCTTGCTCTAAGATGGATATTTTGTTGTATGTAATCGTAGGATGCTTTCTAGGTTGAGTAAATCGGCTAGAGCCGACGCTCCTGCCAACTGTTTCGACAAATTTCTTGAATTCCACCAGCAAATGATGCAGGCAGTGAGTGATATGGTGTCCATTCAAGCCGCCACTGAACTGGCTCAGAACCAGACTTCCAAAAAGCAGCAACAACAGCAGGAACAAGAATCTCCCTCTATACTAAGCGAGATCACACCCAACTCCAATAATCCAGAATCAAGTTTATCCCAAAGAAGGAGTGGGTTGTACAAATCGGTGGCAGCTTGCCCGGAGAGGAGCGAGCAGAAGAAGAGCAACTTTGGGAAGCAGAAAGCAGCAGCATTTGTTGGGAAATTAGGGTTGGGAAGTAGTCGTAGTGGTAGTAGTAGTAGTGGGGAGAATGATGAAAACGAGAAGCCACCAATGGCAATGGCAATGACATCATGGTGTAGGTTGGGCGACACAATCAAACTGGCGAAGCAGATTGAAAGGGAAGCTGGAAAGTGGTTTATGGAGTTCATAGAGAAAGCATTGGAAGCGGGTATGAAGAAGAGCAAGGGAGCGGGAGACGAGGATGTCAGCAAAGTTCCTCAGTCTCTATTACTCAAGCTCATCAACTGGATGGAGGTACAGTGTTGTAACAATAACAAGACGACGGGGGCGGCAGTAGTTCTCCATCCCAGAGCCTCACAAATTGCTCGCAAATTAAGAATCAAGATCAAGAACCCTTGACTATTATTATTCTCAATTTCTCTTTGCTTTGCTTTGCTTGCAGCAACATGAATTCAATTCTTCACTCATTCTCCCCAATAATACTTGTCATTATCTAAATAGATTAAACAGATTTTCGGAATAAGTGAAAAGATTGTGATACCCTAATACCTCATACCCCAATACCTCCATCTCTGCATAATCATTAGTTTAGCCCTTACTAAAACAATTCATAAAAATTCTTTTATTTTGTATATATGGGTAATATTTGTTTAATAAAAGAATATTAATTAATAATATAAAAAATAGGATATGAATGATAATAGTATAAAAATAGGATATAAACTTTACCCATTTAACACTACTGAGAAACGCAGGTTCTTGAAGAGTCGAACACCAACACTCGTTTATCCAGAGCCTCGATCTAGTTAATTTAGCTGTTTCCGTACCTAAAAAATGGGGAAAACCCCCCAAGGGCTCTGAAATACGGTGGAAACTGAAACTACAGCGCGAAGAAGAAGATAGAGGTTGCGTTTGGATGAGACGCCTGTTCTTCCCCAAGCCTTCCATGGCCTCCTCCATCCTTGCCCCATCCCACTTTTATTCCCTTTCTATCCCTTCCGCACGTCTATGTCCTCCGTTGCACCTAATTTCTTTCCTTTCTTCTGCTGGTCGCCGCTTTACGACTGCCTCTTCCGCATCACCTACGCCGTTATTTGCTCTTGACGATTCTTCACCTGATTTCTGTCAGTTCTTGAGTATCTATGCCTGTTTTCTTACATTCTTTTATTTGTTTATTCGACTACTTATCCTTCGATTCTGTACATTTTGTTGCCATTTACATTCGGATGATACTTTTGCGGTCTCTTTTCTCATAGCTATGCCTGAGAAAAAGGAAATCCTGCACACTGATTCCAAGATGCTTCTAAAGGGTCTGTCTTACACTGAACTTGAGGCAAGTCCCTGCTAAACTCTATCTCTTTCTCGTTTGCGCTTATTCGTCTCTCCTTCTTGCGCGCTTATTGAAGAAGACCCTTTGCTCGGATACGCGCATCCTAATTTTTGTTTTTACCCGAACATATACGCTGATAGAAATGGGTTAAAGCTCGAGGATACAGACCTGGTCAAGCTTTAATGCTGTGGAAACGTCTTTATGGGGATAACGTTTGGGCTCATTCCGGCGATGAATTAGAAGGTCTTCTTGCTTTCTCAATTTATTTCGAATACCAGCCTTTCTTTACATTTTAACGCTTTCATTGATAGCAGAACTTTTCCATCATCTGCTTTTCTCTTGTTGTAACTTGGAACTTATCTACTCAATCCAATTAATTTCTCCGTGCTGTCAAATCTTAGGTTTGAACAAAGATTTTAAGAAAATGTTGATTGAAAAAGCTGAATTCAGGGCGCTATCTTTGAGGGAAATTCTCCCTTCATCTGATGGAACGAGGAAGGTGTGTATAGTTGCATTCTAGCAAGTGCTATATTATAATTATTCAATTTTCTTTACTTCTGGTTTCTTTGTGGGTTCTGGCTTCAGTGTACAAAATATCATTATACTTGGCTTTAGTTCTCTGCATTTGTGCTCCCAAGATTCGTCTGATTAATTGCAAAGCTCACAGGATATTACAGATTTTGTTCAATCTGGAAGATGGATTGATAATAGAAACTGTTGTTATACCTTGCGATAGAGGCAGGACTACTGTTTGCGTTTCAAGTCAAGTGGGCTGTGCTATGAACTGTCAATTCTGCTACACTGGCAGGCAAGCTTCAATTCTTCAATTTGATTAGATGCTATGCTTTCCGCATGATCTTAGTTGTAGTAAACAAGAATTTTCAGATTGTTCGTTTTCAATTCATTTTTCAGGATGGGCCTGAAGAGACATCTGACTGCTGCTGAGATAGTAGAACAGGCAGTTTTTGCAAGGCGTTTGCTTACTTGTGACGTAGGGTTAATTACTAATGTTGTGTTTATGGTATGTTTAAGATCTGAAACTATCTAACATACAAGATGGAAAATGAAATATATGGAAAAATTATCTTTTTTTGGAATTTTGCTAATTGTCCAGTTTGTGGTTTATTTACCAACCAAGATTTCGCTATGGGAGCAAATTAGTAGATTTTTAAATCCGAAAGGAGAGAATATGGTTGGTAGTAACACCTTATCAGATGGGTGGTCCTAGTTGGTTTGGCACTCTTACAGGAATAATTCTACCTTCTTTCAATCTGTGCCTGCAATGTTTTTTCATTTAATCATTGTAGACTATTCTAAGCCACAAGTCCTTTATGCATTTAGCTGGAACAAAATTTGCAGGCATTTCTAGCATTCTTAGTTTTCTTTCCTGAAGATTTTTATTGTTTCTTTGTTTTATGTCATATTGAAGATTTATGCTTGGTTTTTTGGGTCTTACTGAATACCTCTTCTTTTTCATTATTTTCATTATTAAAACCTGACATTTATAATGGTTGTCTCAGTGAGAACCATCATCTTTTTCCATGTTTTGATCAGAAGAACTGAAATTGAATGTTATTAGGGAATGGGAGAGCCGCTTCACAACATTGACAATGTCATTAAAGCAGCAAATATAATGGTTGATGAACAAGGCCTTCATTTCAGTCCTCGCAAGGTCACTGTTTCAACCAGTGGACTTGTTCCCCAGCTCAAACGTTTCCTTCATGATTGTAACTGCGCTTTAGCCGTTAGTTTGAATGCAACTACTGATGAGGTACATACTTAACGGTTGACATTACTCTAATGTGCGAAATAAAAAAAATATGAAGAATTCCCTTCTCTCACATGGCAAAATAAACGTTGCAGGTTAGAAATTGGATCATGCCAATTAACCGGAAGTATAAGTTAGGCTTGCTTCTTCAGACTTTACGTGAGGAACTTCGCTGCAAACACAATTACAAGGTTCTTTTTGAATATGTGATGCTTGCTGGGGTTAATGACAGGTTATTACAGCTTCTATGTTTTGGACTTATTCATTGTTTAAACCGGAGCTGTAGATGATGAGTTCATTTTATCAAGTTTATCTTTACAATCATTCTAATCTTTTGTTTTTTGTATTAATCGGTTGTATTGTAACATGCAGCATTGAAGATGCGAAGAGGATTGTTGATCTTGTCCAGGGTATTCCATGCAAGATTAACCTTATTTCATTTAATCCACATTGTGGATCTCAATTTAGACCTACCTGCAAGGAGAAGATGATCGAGTTTCGGAATGTTTTGGCTGCAGCCGGGTTGACTGTTCTCTTGCGACTAAGTAGAGGTGATGACCAGATGGCTGCCTGTGGTCAGTTAGGCAAACCTGGTACAATTCAAGCTCCTTTACTCCGTGTACCGGATCAATTCCAGATGGCAATGAAATTGGCTCCCTAGACCCTACTTTGTTCATTCGACAAGGTGTAGAAACATTCACCCCCAGATTGAGAAAGTCATCCCTCATCTTATCCCACATTTTTTGTCATTCTTCAGTTTCGCTTTTCAACTTGTACCTTATTTTTGGGATAAATTTTGAATTTGGTATTTATAACCAGTGATATGGGCGTGGTGAGTTTGACACTAATTTGCAATGTAGTTGAACTCAAGGACGATGTAGAAGTTGAAAACGTAGGTACTTTTCCAGTGTCTGATACATTGGGCAGAAAAACAAATACTTGATTATAAACAAATTTGAAAGGAGAAACGACGAGGGTGAAACAATCCCGGTTTTGAGATTACACAAATAGAAAATATCACTAGATGATCCAAAACCAAGACAGAACAGAACCGGCCGCCAAACCGGTGACCAAGAACAAAACCATGACGACTCCTGCGGTTTCTGCGTGTTGCAACTGGACAATCTTTGGAGCCAACATCATGAGAACACTTGTCAAATAGCCATTAGTAAGACCCATCAGGCAAGTCAGCACCGTCACTGGAATCTCAGTTCTGAAGACTAGAGGACCGTGAAGACACGCAAAGAAGAGTGGAAAGAACAAGAGTCTCACGGCACATCCACCAATAACAATCTTGGGATTTTGAATAACATGAACTGCAGTGAGGGACTTGCCCACAAGATCGAACACGTTGTAGCCAGTAATAAGGAGAATCGGGTACCAGTCTTTGAGAATGGAAGAATGAACATCCTCAGTAATGTATCCTGGAAATATTGACAAAGTTACTATGTAGATAAGGACAATCCCAAAGCCGTACCACTTGACCCTCTCTACTATCTGCCACAGCGTTGATCTCCATACCATCCCAGTCAGAGGCCCTTTTTCCTCTTCCTCCATGTTTGTAGCTTCTGCCTTCAAGTCCTTGTAATACTTCACCACAGGTAGCTTTTCAACCACATTGTACAATATTGTACATATAACCATCACTACAATGGAAACGACGAAGTAAAGCTTTGCACTTTCTCTCAGCCCACTCGCATCTTGTGGGTATATTGATTTGGTTAGAATCCTCAAGAAAGAAACAAGGACCCCTGCACTCAAGTCAGCCAGCGGTTTAGTACAACCTCCATTAGTTAAGCTAACAGACAAACAATTGCCTTATAAGATTCTTTGTTTACTAGCCCATCTTGACAGACAAAACAATTGATTTCATGTCATGGATCACAAGAAAGGGTAAGCAAGATATATAATTAGGCAACTTTGATAACAGATAGCAGATTCTTGTTACCATAAAAAGAACTAAACCTTCCGGCCACATACGAAATCAAGACCCAGGAGAAGGCATCCAATGGAAGATGATGATTCAAGTAGACTTCTTTGTCTACTAACCTCTCTAAACCTAAACTCTTGAGCAGTTCATCTCATATTCATAGGTCATAACAAAAAGGCAAACGAGATATGTGAATCAAATAGTACACAAGAAAAATGCGCCACAATCTCTTCAAGTAGACGAAGAGAAAGGTCCAAACAATTAGCCTTATGTTTGCTACAAAGATCAGATACAAAATAATAACTAAAGAATGAAGGTAGAAAGTCTAAAACCACATTTATTTATTTTTTTTTTTAAGAAAAAAGCCTCATGAATCGGAAAGTCATGTAGGGTCAACACCCAAAATCTGAATAATAAGAGCAAGCAATTTTAATCTCGACAAACAGCAATTGACATCTTACAATTACCAAAAGAAATCAATACCGGAACCGGCGGTGCCAGCCACGACAGCCTGCATGTACCTCTCCGGCAGCTCACCAGCAGAGCCAATCACCCCACCCTGCACGACGGCATCAGCAGCTCCACACAAGACCACCGATCCGATGGTCACATAGAGCCCCTCGTACAACCCGACCCGGCCCTGAATGTAAACCACGTCCATAACTGGAACCACAAGGAGGGTCAGCACAAAAAGGACCAAACCCAGGTTGATCCTTAAATGTGCGTTAGACTTGTGGGAATACAAGATAATGAAGACGAGGCAAATGAAGGAAACCCCCATGTAAACAACAGCAAAGATGCGATCGACGCTTGCATCTGGGTAGAGATAGGAGAAGTAATCAATAGCCGTGACAAAAGCGTTCCACGGAAGGAGGTAACCAAAGCCCAAGGTAAAGTAGATTATATAGGCCAAATGGAATGAATCTTTGGGAACCTTATTGGGTGTCGCAGCGACGGATGTAGTCTCCAGAAGAGAGGTCGATTCCGACTCTCCATCGGCGAGACCCATCGGAGATTCAAACAGTCCGGATCTAGGTAGGGTGAGATAACGTGGGCGATACTGCAGAATAACTATGAATTGCGAAGTATAGCAATCTGGATATTTTGGGTCAACCTAACAAGATTAGGAATCTAGAACTAAAAAGAGGAGTGATCGGCGCGCTTTAGCTTCTGTCTTTGGCTTTGCATTTGCATTTGGGGAGTGGGGACTCGGCTCGGAGTCCTCAGCCGTGCAGGTATCAAACAACCACCACCCAATTATAATTACGATTCTTATCCTGCCGTGACTCGTCACATTCCATTACCTCCTGATCTCAGCCGTTCGTGTCCAATGGATGAACAGCTGAGATCCTTAGTTGAAATTAGTTTATTCCAACAAAAACTGCCGAGGGATTACTTGCGTTCTCTTGGTTTAGGTAAATATTATTCAATTGCTCTGGCGTCCCCCAAAACCGAAGGCATAATTGTATATTTCCGTTTCATCCGGAAGGCAGCCTTTAGGTTGCCTTAGCAAGTAATCTCCATTTTTATTAGAGAAGGCAATGAGCATAGGCAGCACCCTAACAATTCCATTGGCTACAGTTTATGAATCAATTTCTTAGTTCAAAATCTCCGTTCTGCGAAAGAGAAAGACAAGGAACGAATCAAGAAAGGATGATTATTATACTTATGGAATCTTGATTCTAAATTAGACATAGAAGCAGAAACAAGATTTGTGAAATAATGATTCATTTAGATTAAAACTGGCATACATTTTATTTTATTGGTGCCGATGTGAAGAAAAAGAAGGGGAAAAAGCATGCATGGGGATCCATCCATCCTAAAGCCAAGCAGGGTTTTCCAAAGGAGTGACAACAGCCTTCACTTGCAGGTAATTGCTGAGGCTGTAAATGCCCTTTTCTCGCCCATGTCCGCTCATCTTGTACCCTCCAAAAGGAATTGCAGCATCAAATATATCAAAGCAATTGATCCACACAGAGCCGACTCTCAAAGCACGCGTCAGCCTGTTGGCTGTGTTGATGTTTTGAGTAAACACCCCTGCGGCCAGCCCATAGCGACTAGCATTTGCCCTCCTTATCACCTCCTCGATCTCTCTGCACCACCAAAAAACTGAGTCAACCCTTATTCATCATATTCATTTGGAAGGACTCAAAATTAGAAACTAGTTTTCACTTACTTGTATTTCAAGATTGTCTGTACAGGACCAAAAATCTCCTCCTGTGCAATTGTCATGTCATCCTAAATACACAGAATGATGATGTTAGAAGGAGAATGCTTAAAATATTATAACAAGCTAACAAAAAGATACGGACCTTGACGTTTGAGAAAACTGTTGGCTGGACATAGTAGCCCTTGGAACCGAACCTCTCTCCTCCAGCTTCAAGAGTGGCTCCTCCTTCAATTCCAGATTTTATATATCTCAAAATCTTTTTGAATTGTTCCCCATCCACCTGTGCATCATTTCAGTCACAAACATGTTGGTTGAGTTGGGTCTAAAAGAAAGAAAGAAATACTGGTAACACAACTTGCTCCCTCACCTGAGGACCTTGCTCAATTCCACCTAGGAACGGATCACCAACAACGCGGTTCACAGCCCGTTTCCTTGCTTTTTCAATAAATTCATCATATACTTTTTCATGAACAAAAGTACGAGAACCAGCACAGCAACATTGTCCCTGTAAGAGAACATAATAGTTTTAGTGGAAGATGAATGTGGTTGTGACCATACCATCAATGTTGTTTGACGAACCTGGTTGAAGAAGAGAGCGAAGTGTGCCATCTCCACAGCTTTGTCAACATCAGCATCCTCACATACAATGAAAGGGGATTTTCCTCCAAGCTCCAATGTGACTGGCTTCAGATTGCTTTTTGCAGCTAGTTCAAGTACTACTTTCCCTGTTTCGGTTGATCCAGTAAATGCAAGCTGGGAGAGCAAGAGATTTTTTATTTTTTATTATTATTATTATTTTTTTAGAATAGACCTTCTCAATACAACCAACCATGAGTCTTGTAATAATAACTACCTTATCAACTTCCATATGACTGGCAAGAGCAGCACCAGCGGTGGGTCCATAACCGGAAACAATATTCAGAACGCCCTCAGGTAGTCCAGCCTGCCATTCAAAGATGCAATAGCTAAGCTTGATGTAAAGTAAAGAAAGAAGAGTTTTGATAATTGGGCATCTACCTCATGCAACAGCTTGGCCACATAGAGAGCAGACAAAGGTGTCTGCTCGGCTGTCTTCAGAACAATAGTATTCCCACATGCTAATGCTGGGCCAACCTTCCAAGCAAACATGAGCAGAGGAAAGTTCCATGGAATGATTTGACCTGCAACACCAATAGGTTCGTGCAAGGTCTGCACATTATACGAGCCATCAGCTGGAACAGTGAGTCCGTGAATCTTATCGGCCCATCCTGAGGTAAGCGTAGCGGATGCAGGTCTCATTAACACATTGATTGATAAGTCATGTTGTCCAAAAACTAAGCCCGAAACCTCGACAACACATACCGGCGTAGTATCGAAAGATGCGTACAAACATTGGGACTTCCAGTTTTGCTGACTGTTCGTATGTTTTGCCATTGTCCCAAGTTTCGAGTGCTGCAATTTCCTCAGCATTCTTTTCAACCAAATCAGCAAACCGCAAAATTATCTTTGATCTTTCCTGCAGACGAGTTTTGGATTAGCCTACAGTTTAGTAGTGGGGAAGGAGCAGATATATGATGAGCTCACATAAGCAGTCATCCTAGGCCAAGGCCCTTCATCAAATGCCTTGCGTGCAGCAGAAACTGCAAGATCAACATCTTTGGCGTCACCTTCAGCAACATTCGCAATGACTTCCCCAGTCCTTGGATCTAATGTAGGAAAAGTTTTTCCTGAATTCACAAAAACATAGTACATTTGGATTGACTTTCTAA